TTCTGTCTCTCTGTCTCTGTCTCTCTCTGTGTCTCTGTCTCTCTCTCCTCTCTCTGTGTCTCTCTGTCTCTGTCTCTCTCTTTCCTCAGATGTCCACCCATATCCAAACACACCTTTATTTGAGACTCATCTAGGGATAAGGTCTTAAGGTACATATTTAGCATTTTGTTATGACTCAAAAAGAAAAGTAACAGGCATTTGTTGGACACAAAATGCAATAAGAATCAAAAACAGTTTGTACTTTTTAAACCCAGTGAAAAATGTTTTTTGGTTCATCATGAATAAATTAGCAATTCTAATCACCCAGTCTATAAACATAATAAATCAATCTACATCAATGATGTTTTAACCAGTTTTAGCTGGGCCCATCTACTGTGATGACAAGTTCTTTAAAGGACATTTCTTTTTGACGACCTTAAAGTGAGTAAAATACATATGACCCCAGACATAGAGCTAGATGAGGCCTTGGAAGTCATCTAGTCTAAACTTTCATCTTACAGAATGGGAAACTGAGCCCCAGAGAACTCAGTGACTTGTTCAAATCACTGGGATTTGAGCCAAGGATATCACCTTTTCTTTTCTTTTTTTTATTTAATATTTTTTCCCCAATTACACGTAAAAATAATTTTAACATTCTTTTTTTCAAATTTTGAGGTCCAAATTTTCTCCCTCCCTTCCTACTCTCCCCCACCTCACTGAGAAGGCAAGCAATTTAACATAGGCTATATAGGACATCACATTTTCTAATGTACGTTTGGAGCAACTTTTAATAACATGTATGCCCTTCTTTTTGCTAGCATTGAGGAAAAGCATTCCTAGAAATGGAGAGTCAGTCATGTTAAATTGTGGCCCGATGTTACTGAGACAAAATATTCTGAAATTTCATTTATACAGAATGCAGCGACATTCCAGGTTTTCTTTCATTTACAAAATTATCACCACTCTCAAGGACAGACCAGAAGAGCAAAGCTCCTGCTCTCTCCATGGTATTTCAGGAGGCAGCTGTATTCTAGAATTCTCACACATTGCTCAGATACAGCAGAAATAGCGAAAGGCTCAGTCTTGTGACCGACCGCCCCCTCTTCCCCTTCGGTTCCTGTGCCCTCTAGCTTCTCTTCCTAAATGTAATTTTATTTCTCAAACTAGTTCCCTTTGCATACTTAACCTAAGCCTGCCTTGGAGAACCTTGGTGCCCCTTTGAAGCCTGGGCTTGCAGGCTTGAACAGCAGCATGGTTGAGGCTCTGCGGTCAGTTCCCTTCCCACCTCCATCCATCCCCAGGCCACTGCCTCAGCCGCAGTGGCCACTTGACGAACGTCTTTCAAGCTGAGGCTAGTCTTCACTCTGAGTTCTCAGAAATTTCCTAGCTCTGGAGAAAAATAAAGGGAAATAAAGCAAAAATTTCAGGATTTCACTGACCTTGGAGCCGGAGTCAGTAGCACACGTCCTGCTGCACCCAGTCAGCCAAGAAGCGTAACGTGATCAGTCAGGGAGCACAGGCTGTGAATAGACTCAGGGAAGGTGGGGGCAGGGGAGCAGAGGATGCCATTGGCCAATTCCTGCCCTTCTTGATGGGACACTTGTTTCCACAGTTGTGCCCTTGAGAGCATCAGCTGGCTGTTCTGATGATATCAACACCACCACTCTGGAATCTACTGTGCCCTTCACCCTTCAATAAATAGAAGACTGTTCAGTTGGGACAGAATCACATTTTGCTCCTCAGTCTTGGCTTTGGAATGCCTCCTTCTTCTCTAACCTTATAGAATCCTGGACCTTGAGAGCTCAAAGGGACCCAACATAGCTCCAGGCTTCTCATTTGATAGATGAGGAAACTGAAGCCCAGAGAGCTCGGATGGTTAAAGATAGAGCTAGAAAGGACCTACAAGGTCATACTGTTGCAGTTTCATGGTGTGTGTAGTGGCAGTACCATCTCAAAGAATTCAGAGTCAGACCGCCTCTAATCCAAGCATAGGCATTTATTGAGGATTGATGCCCCTCAGGAGTATGCTAGGTTCCAACCAGCAACTTAGTAAGACAACACAGGCAAATTTATTGTTAATGATACTAATTACACAACAGAAGTTATGAATATTAAAAAGGCAGGAGGGATTTGGTAAGGGATTAGATGACAGGAGAGGGGCCCCTTCTAGGTTTTGTGGTCAAACATCCTGGTCGTGCTGCTTTCTGATTGGCTAGCTATTGTGGTCCTATCTGGACAAGATGGATAGTTAGGTAATGTGGTCCTGTCTTGGGCTAAATGGATGATGTAATTGTGGCTAGGTACAAGGTCACACCTGTTCAAATACATGAATTGCATCTGGGGGCAATGGCTAGCTAGAGGCAGTGGCTATGTTGAGTTTGGGGGCCTGTGCATTGGGGCCTATATAGAAGTTGGAATGTTGGGGCTAGGGGAACTTTATTAGGATTCCATCAATACCATTTTGGAACCATGGAGTTAGGCTTGCAAGGAATCTTGGGGGCCCTCTAGTTCAACACCCTTGTTTTATAGATAAGGGAATTGTGGCCTTTCCAGAGGACCGGGATGATAAATATAGAGCCAGAAGGGCTCTATAGGTTTAGTAATTCCTTATGTAACAGGACACTGGTGATGTAGGACCCCTGGTTGTGGAGAAATTCTCCAGGATTCCCTTCCTTGACCCCTGACTTAGGACCATCCTAAAGGATGATGGGGGAGGGATAACAGAATAATTGGGTGGGGTACAGAGAACAGGCATGGTGGAGCTGAAGAGAAGAAGCCATGGAGAAGTAGTGGTTATCGGGAGGTGATTAATGCTGAGGCCAGGTGGCCAGAGCATTCCAGAGTCCATCCAGATGCATGCCATATCACAGAACCTCCCTTCCCCTCATTGTAGAGCTGAAGGCAGGGATTATTCATTTTCATCCTCCCTTTGGTGCGCTTTTTTTCTTCCTCTCTCTGGAAAGAGGCCTGAACCCTTTTCTTCTGTTAAGAAAAAGTTTGTTTTTCTTTATTTAAATATTACTTTGTTTCTTAAGCCAGTAATGTGAGGAAAGTTGTTAACCGCTTGTATTGTTAATCTCCATGTATTATTGGGAATGCAATAGAAAGAGGCAGGTGGGGGTTGTATCCTGGGAGAAGAACAATAGATTTAAAACTTTGATATTTTGCCAAATTGCTCTCTCTGGCTGGAGCTCAAAGCTATTGAAGAGAACCATTGATTCATTTTTACAACTTCTACAAGGGCAGAAAGAATGTTTAATGCCTGGTCCTTCCAAGGCAATGAATTAGAAAGGACAGAGGTGCAACATAACTAATATGAAAATGTTTTGCATGATTATATATGTATATACAATTGCTTACTATCTTAGGGAGGGGGAGGGGAGTGAGGGAGAGAGAGAATTTGGAACTCAAAATTTTTAAAAATGAATGTTAAAAGTTGTTTTTACAGGTAATTGGGCAAAAAAAAATATTCAGGAAAAAAAAATTGTGGTGATTGCAACTAGTTGGGCTGACATTGAGGTGGGGCTTCTACCATCTTCCCAGACTTGGTTTAAAAGTAAAGTTACTCCCAAGGGGAGAAGGATTCTGGCCCGAGATAAGGTAGGGTGATGATAGGAGTACTTAACAGCTTTGTGTGCTTCTAACCACCATTAGCACATCTCTGGATGAGATACTACAACAGACTCTCATTGCTTTATACACACAAAAACATGTGGGTCACTAATCCTTGTCCAAATTCACCATCTTTTTTGCTAGTCCCTGGCTGTGGTGGGCTATGAAGACCCATGGGCCTTGGTCATTTCTCTTGGATGACAGCTTTTCTAAATATATTCTTAGGTTTATAACTCAGTCAGTCAACTAGCATTTATCAAATACCTACTATGTGCTAGGTATTGCTAAGTTCTGGTGATACAAAGAAAGGTAGACAAAGAAACAAAAACTAGCAAACTTGCCAGGAAGAGATACCATGGGTTTTGGCTCTATTATAAGAGGTCGTATCATAACAAGGCCTGGTAGCAGTCTTCTCTTCCATCACTATTTTCTGGCTCAACATCCATGCAATTCAATCTTCTTAGGAATGCAGGCTTCTTGAGCACCTTCCCTTTCACTTGGGGTAAGCAGTTCTCCAAGATTCTTTCAGAATCACTGATTGAGTTGACCTTCACAAAGCCTCCCTAGAAGAAGCCTATAATATTGAACAGGCCAGGTCAGCAGGTTGAATCTCTAGGGAGGTAATCTATCAATCACTCGATTAAACATTTATTAAACTCCTACTATGTGCCAGCCAGTGTACCTAAGTGCTGAGGGATACTAATACGATAAATAAAACAATCTCTGATTGCAAAGAGCTTACATTCTAAGAGAGAAAGACAAAGTTATTTCTTCACATCCACACTTTTAAAAAAAAAAAACAAACCACATCAGGCTTGGGTTTGGCAGGAGTGCCCTAAAACCCAGACATTTTGCTTGCTAATCAGTATTCTTTGCAGATTGGAGTCTAGCAATATTATGTCATATTTTTCTTCTCAGGAGTTCAGTTACCTAGAGTGGATTCTTGGGCAAACTTACTTCCTAGTAAATGTACCATTCCAGAGGGCCAAGCAGGATCCCTGTTAAAAATAATCCAGCTTGGGACAATCAACACAAACTCAGGAGGAAAGGTTACCTATAAATAGCAGTGACCAGTTGAAATCTTGGACAATAGCCACACCATTTAAAACGAGTCCAACCAAGGGCCCCAGGTGACTGTCACAAGTCCAGTTTCCATTGCTACAAGGAAGTCACCAACTTATCATTCTTTTTCTTCTGGGAGTTCCTCTCCTCTTGGCATAATTAAGAATGAATCTAGCAGGGGATTTTATCTCATGAATAACCATCTGCTTTACTGGATTGTCCATCTGGCTCTCTGATGAACTCATTTATAGAACTACCCTGCTTCACATTCTCTGCTATAACTTACCTGGCCAAAAGTAGAAGAAGCAGCCTTGTCTAGTAACTGTTCAGTTCAAACGAAGGCTCACTGGCCTACAAGGTGCCTCACAATGACATTTGTATTTGTTTCTTTCAGATAGCATTTGTTGTCATATGATATCTCCAGTCATCATTGGGGAATCCCTCAACCCAGAGTTCCTAAGATCCTCCCAAAGAGTAATTCCTCCCACTGTGGTCCATTTGATTGGAGGTCAATGTTGTTTGTCCTTCATTCTCGAAGAGGACCGTGACATCATGGAACTGATGCCATGACATGCAAGTGAATTGGATTTAAGTGAGGGAGGGCTGTGCAAAGTCACCAGCTTCACTTTCTCCTTCAGAGCCATTTGGGTCCAGTGGCCAGATACACATCAGAATGATTGGAGATGGCCCAGATGCTGTGGAAGACCTTGGCCTTTTAAAGCTAAGATCTTTAGCAGGTCTCAGTTTGACTGATGCAATGGCCATTCAGTGTTAAGGCTAGGTTAAATAATAAGGCAAAAAAAAAAAATGTCCTCTTTATTCTAGTCTAGAAAAAAGAAATCATACTGGGAGGGGAAGACCCTCAGGGTTTCTGGTCAAAACAGAAGTAATTCCTATTTACATTCACTCAGAGTCAATCAGGGCCCAAACAATGACCAGGTGGGGTTTGTCCTGGAATTTACTATTAGCCAATTAGTGAGAGCCAGAGTGATTTGGGTTTAAGACATGGTCCTTAAGAAAGAAATCTAGCCTGTAACCCCTCAGATACCAATAAATTAAGGCGCAAAGCCAAAAGATAAAAAAGTTTAATTAGTATTAGCTGGTGGACAGTTGCCAGCTGGATAGCAGGTTGAAAGAACAAAGGGAGATAGGCATACCTAGGGTTTTACCCAGCCCACAGGCAACATTACAGGCACAAAAGGAGCCTATGAGATGAGGCTGCTCAGCTGCTTTCCTTGTTTGGGAAACTGAGTGATGTGGACTAGATGTCAGGTGATTTGGAGGAGAATATGTTAACCTTGAGGTCTCTGGATATAAAGATCAGGTTTGTTCCAGGGGGTATGTCCTCTCTGTAGTTAATCCCATGGGAATATGTTGATGGGGCAGGAGGTCTCTAAAATAGAGGAGGTTTCCTCCCAGATACAATCAGCGGACTTATCTGTTGTTGAATAAAACATAGTTCTGCTAGTGTTTTGAAAATGAATTTGTTCCAATATGATTGGTGTACTAGGGTGTATTTTGAGCATAATATGAATTTCAAGTTTGCTTCTACTCAATTTCTTCTGTGAGAAATAGTGAGAATATAGAAACCTGTACCACATCACAATAATTCACAAATGGTCATCGTACTGGCCCTTCACGAGCAAACTTTAGGTCTTTGTCCTGGTAAAGTACCATATTTATTACATATCTTCTGGTGCAGTAGGAGCTGTGAGCAGAGAACGACCACTTCCAACCCCCTTCTGCCATGGCCTCCAGCTAAACGCCCAAAGATATGGGCAGCCCAACCTGGGGCATA